CAGCGGCCCGCCTCCCCCGCCGCCCCCGGGCTCCTCCAGGGCCCCTGCCCAGCAGAGCCACCCTCTGCCACCAACTGTTCGGGGCGCCCCGAAGGAAACCGAGGTCGGGAGCGGATGGGACTCGTCCAAGGTCACAGGGCCCGATGCACTTCTCCCAGAAAGCTCTCCCCAGAGCTGTGAGGAACTTGTGAGACAGCGCCACCCAGCCGGGCCACCCCTCCCCAAGTGCTCTAGGGCCCACGGGGATGGGAGCAGGGGTAAGAGACAGCGGACCAGAGGAGCCCTGACAGGGTCTATGCGATCCCCTCCAGGATCTGGGAACCTGGGGAATCGCGGCGGGGTGCAGGGGGCGTTGAGGCGCCTGGCCGCCTTTCTAGAAGCTTCTGGAAACTTGGCCGCCACCCCTTGCAGCCCCAGTGCCTGCTGTTACAACTGCTGTGCAGGTGTGGCCCTGGTGCCCATGGCTGTGCCCTGTGCCTGTGGCGTTCTGTCTATCCCTGCTTGTGGGGAGTCTCTGAATTTTTACCTGCCTTTGTTTCCTCACCCTGCCCTAAATCACAGTACAAGGCAGACTTTCCGGATCCCATCTTACAGGCCGGAAGTGGGATGCAACGCTAAGGAGGTGCTGATTTATCTTGTCTAATGTAAGAGGATGGAAAACAGGAGCTTCCCATCTGCACCCTAAGAGGAAGGTGGGTGAGTCAGTGTCCCACCCTAGACCTGCACTGGGGACGTCTGGACCATTCCAAAGACAAAGGGAGTTTGTGAGAATAACTGTACTCCTGGGAGAGAAGAGAACTTCTCAGACTCCTGAAGGACCTGTCTGAGCTCAGAGACAGCCAGAGGGAGGAACCACAGTCTTCCATTCAGCGAGAAGTCCTCCTCTCCAAGGAGCTGTCTCTCATCTCTTCAGAGTCCCCTAAGTCAGTCCGAGGGCCTTCTGTGTGCCACTTAGGATTAGGTTCTCAACTGCAAGTGGCGGAAAACTCCACCCCAAATAACAACGGTGCAAACGAGGGCTTCTAGGTAAAGCAAGGCTAGAGATTCAGCCCAGGGTTGGAGTGACTGCTTCCTGGTCATCAGGATTCCTGGATCTTCTACTTTCCATTATTTTCTGGTCCAAGGTACTTAGTAATTCAAAGTGACTGCTCCATCTCCACCGATGATGCCCAAATTCCAGCCATCAGGAAGAAAACATCTCTACCCATAAAGACATATCCTGACAATGGTAGTCACTGGTCAGGATTTAATCATATGGGCATTTCTGGCTGCAAAGGAGGCTGGGAAAAGTACCCTTTATTCCAGGCAGTCACCAGCACATTTAAATACGGAGCCTTCTGTTACTCTGCCCCCTCTCTGTTGCTAATAAGACAGTACCACAGACATTTTAAAGCAAATAACTTCTTTGTGGCTAATTATTCACATCAAAGGTTGGAGGGGCTGCATCTGGTGACGGCCTTCTTGTTGGTAGGATTTAAATTTGTTTAGTCAATAAATATCTGTGAAACACCTGAGCAAGTTCCTGGGGCTCAGTGCTACAAAGCCACTCCTCTCTGCAGAGATTATGTCTCAGTGCAGGAGGGAGATGTTCAAGAAATAATTGCACCATGGTGTGCAGAGTACAACGGTGATACACACCATTGTCCTAAGAAGATGCTACTAAAGACCCACCCTCAAAAGACCACGTTCTCTGCTCCAGGGCCTTTCTCTGGATGGAAGGAATTAGTGCTTTTATGTCCGGCCAGTGTAGGCTGGGATCCCCAGGAGCAGCTGACACGAGTGGAGAGCAACGGCGGGACTAATGCCCCGGGTCTTGGCCACTAGATGGGCCAGCTCAGCGGCGTGTGCGGCAGTCTTCCACAGGCACCCAGATTCCCACGGCAGCCACCTGCCCAGTACGGCACAAAGCGTTGCCTGTCCTGCCTTTCCCCGTCTCACTTTCCAGCAGCAGAGGACTCGTGCTTCCGGCAGTCGCTCCCCAAATAAAAGGAAAACTCCTGTGCTCCCACTTTCCTTCCAGGTCTGTTCCTGGGCATGCCCAGCCCCCGACAGCAGGCTTAGCGCGTATGCAGGGAGGGAGCCGTGGTCTCTTCTGTGACACTGCCTGTTGTCTGAACCCGAGCCCTCTCCTTCCGCCCCGGGAGGGCGAGAGTGCTGCGGCGCAGCCCTGCACAGCTGTCCCTAATGAGTATCTTCCTGCTTCTGTCTCGGGATGATGCATGAGACAGAGGCCCTGCTGCCTCCATTGCTATGTTCTGGGGGCATTGGAAGTTGGGATGAACGCGTGGGAGAACTTGCCTCCCCGGCTCAGAGGCAAAGTAAGCTTCAGAGTCGGTCCGAGTTTGGATTCCTTTTTTAGAACAACAGTACCGCTCCCCTCGTTCCTCAGCCACGCTCCTAGAGGATTAGCTTTCTCAAACTGTTACCTTATGTTGTCCTATGGCCATTCACTGCCCCCCACGCGCCCCCGCACAGGGCCAAGTCCTCCAAACTCAATAATACCCAAGGAGCCGGACCCCTCGCAGTCTCCCTCCTGCCTCTGTCCAAATTGCCCTTGCCCACCTCACCTGCCAGAGCTCCTACTCCTACTTCAAGTCCCAGCGTGGATGCCCCTCTCCAGGGCACTTTTCTTCACCCCAGACCTTGCAATCCTCAGGCAGCACTGATGCCCTGGAAGTCTCCCCTAAACACGACTCTCCTCCAAGACCCCCCAACTTTTAAGCCTCCACCTCAGTGGAAGGGTCACTCCCTCCTGAAAGGCATTCCATGATGCCCGATTCCTCAGGGTCCCTGTCCCTTCTGCGATTGCCCTGGGGCACTGCAGGCCTGGGAAATGACCTCCCCTGCTTTCCCTGTGGACACGGAGCCCCCGAGGCAGGGCCTAACATAGACGCGCAGTTCAGGTGCACCGTGAATTGCTTCCCATGACACATGGGCGGTGCCGGAAAGGAGAGGGAATTGCCAGATTGGTGTCTCTCACTTGCAATTTGGGCTTCTTCCTTAGCTCCATGTCCCTAAGGTGCTCATGTGCTCCAGAGTTTCAGGTCACATTGCCCTTCTGAGTGACAAGACGAGGAGCGGGCCTGAGTACCTACCTGTGCGCGAACATACCTGCCCAGGGGCCTTCGAGTCAGACAGCAATGGGTGCGAGTCAAGCTCGGTCATTTACTGTGTAGCTGTTACATCACTAAGCCCGTCTGATGATCTCCAAAAAGCATGTAACAACGGGGACGGCCCTTATACCGAGCCCTTGGCAGGCACCAGGCGCTGTTCTAGGAGCCGGGAGTGTTATCTCCTTTCCTGCTCTCCAGCGCCCCCACCCTGTCGCCGGTAGAATCTGAGGATCTGCAGAGACTGCAGCTGCCTGGAGATCCCGGCTGCCGCAGCTCCTGGGACAGACTGTGTCACCAGAGAAGGCTCCTGCGGCCCAGTGCTCTACCCCTCTGCCTTCTGCTTCTCCTCTCAGAGAAGAATGACCTCTGCCCTCTGCCTCGTCACCCAGAGCTTGGGGGAGCTGGGTTGTGAAGCCGGATCCTTTTCATCCCAGTCATACAAACCAGGATGCCCCCACACAGAGCAATTGAGTGACAAGCCCAAGCTGCCGTGAGATCTCCCCAGAGAGCCTGGATGCAGCCCACCCACACTCCCACCACAGATTCACAAGCCACAATGACCACCTCGCAGTGGGGTTTGCTAATCAGCAACAGACCCTGCCTAGAACCTGGCAAAACTACGTCCACCGTGATAGCAGCCCTGGCACTGCTGTAATTCACAGAGCCCTCCATCTTCCTGTCGGTGCACCCACTGTGCCAGGGATCAGCAAGGCAGCAGGTGCAATTGCTGGTGCCCAGGGGCCCTGGTACAGTTTCCCCTTCCTGCCTGGGTGGTCACTGCCAGGTCTGGGGGATGGGTGGGGCGTTACCAGGCCCAGGGAGCTCCCTGCTAGGCAGCGCCTGCCCTACTCACTGCCCCTGTGCCCGGAGCCAGCCGAGTTCACCAGGTGCTGGGTCCTGTCCAGCCCCAGGCAGTCAGCAGGGAAGATTTACAGCCTGTGAGCTACAGTGATTATTGCTCTCTTGGGTGGATGCAGCACGCTGTATTTCCAAAATCTCTCACCGTCGCTTTCAAATGGACTCCTCTATGGAAAGAGAAGCCAGTGGGTTCACATCCACTTTACCAGGAGGGACACTGAGTCCCAAAGCGTCGGGATTTGCTCGAGGTCACTTAAGGTGCTGGCAGCATTTGAGCAATTCTGGACCAAGAAAAGAGGGAGAAGCGGGGGTAGGAACGGCACAGCTCCTCCCTTCTCTACACGGGGCTCTGCTCAGCTGTCTAGGGCACTCTCCTCCCAGGGAGGGCTGAGTGTCAGGCGTGGGAGGAGGGAGGGAGCCCATTGTCTGGACGGGAGGCATCCACAAGGAGGATGGGGGGTGCCGTAGAGCTCTGTATAGAATTAGCTGGATGCTCCCTGAATCTGGGCACTCGGCATATTTGAGTTTCCTGGGGCAGCCATAACAAAGTTCTGCAGACTGGGTGGTTTAAAGGCAGACATTTCATGACTCAAAGTTCTGGAGGCCAGAAGTCTGAGGCCAAGATGTTGGCAGGCTGGGTCCTTCTGAGGAGTGTGAAGGAGAATGAGCTGCAGCCTCTCTCTCTCTCTCTCTCTCTCTCTCTCTCTCTCTCTCTCTCTCTCTCTGTCTCTCTCCTCTCTCCTTGCTTCTGGTGGCCCCAGCATTCCCTGACCCGTGCATGGGTCTTCCCTGTCTTGCAGTGTCTTTCCTCGATGTGTGTCTTTCTGGGCTCAAATTCCCCTTTATATAACAGTACCAGTCACCTAAGATGGGAGCTCACTGTAGGAATCTGACTTTATCTCTGTTATGTCAGCAAGGAGGGACCCTATTTCCAAATCAGGTCATTTCTGAGGTACTGGGAGTTAGAACTTCAAGATTTTTTTGGGAAGGACACAATGCCACCCATCAAACACTGAGGGCTCATTTCTCAACTTCCCTGAATATTCAGTGTGGCCCATGGAAGGTGACAAAAAGAGATTCAGCCACCTGCAGGCCTGGCCCATAACGCTTCCCACGCAGCCTCCCGCTTGCCCGGTCTTCCATTTGCTGTGTGGGACACATGACCAGCAGAGGGCACTACAGCCCCAGAGGACACTGGAACCGTGAGCCAGGAGGAGCCTGGGCCCCTGAGTGATTGTATGGAACAGAGTACCCTGCAGACCCACACTGGGTTGCAGCGTGTTAAACCGCCAAGATCTAGGGGCTGTCTGTCACTGCAGTTAGGCTGACCAACACAGCTGGCAGATGGCCCCAAGTTTGGGAGCAAAAGCTAGTGAGTCCAGGCAGAGGGCTTCTGAGGGATCCCTCTGTATAGCGGCCATTTAAAGAATGGGGCTTCTCACCCCATACCCACTTCCTCCTTCCTCCCCTGCTCCCTTCACCTGCCTGTGGAGGGTCTGGGTCTACGTGACCATGGCTCCTGGGCTTGGGAGAAGACTTAGTTGTTCTCTTCCATCCGGCCCCTCTCTGTCCCCCGCCCCCAGCAATGATGCCCACCTGTCTACCTTTCTCTCCGGAGAGAAGGTGGGGAGCTGGGGAGCGGGTGGTTGCCACACTGTTCCAAGATTCTAAGCTCTTACAGGAAAAGAGAGCAATGCGCCAAATCTCACACATTTTGAAATCAAATAAGAAAGAAGTGTTACATAGAGCCCTCGCCTTGTAGCCTTTCAGTGACTCTCTCCGGCTGAGAAACCCACTGTGACCAAAATGAGAAATGAAGCCAACGTCAACCAAAGTCAGAAATGAGAGGTCACCTCAGGCCCACATGCTTACTGGCCCCCCTGGCAGTGGCCTCCTTCATAGAACCTGTTGTTTCTTCTTTCTCAGAAGAAACAGCCATTCTCCTGGCTGAAAACAGGGCCAGTGGGGCACCGAATTTTCTCTGAAAAGCATGGCCTTGTTGCTGGGGGTGGGCTCTGTCAGGGTCACCCAAGTCAAGAAGGAGGCACTCTTGGGGCAGGCAGGACCGTGACAACAGGCTGACTCATCTCTGAGCCTCCCGGGTCCCACTGTGGCCAGCCACCCTCAGGCTGCACAAAATTACCTGTCCCTTCATTCTTACATTCTCCCTTCTCCCAAGGAAAACACACACCAAACAGAAAATCCAAGTGTTTCTGTGCCAACTGTCTCACAACTGGCATCCCCACCCGAGCCTTGGTCCTCTTTGAGTATGGGCTCTGGGGGCGTCATGCCTGGGACCCAGCTGGAAGTCACTGTGGCCATCTACAACGGACCCCACAGAGTCCCCTACAGGATCACAGCTCACAAGCTTCCATTCCTGTCCCTGGTCTCTGCTCTCAGGGCAGTCTGACCTGTGAGGAGGTAAAACATCAGAGCCGAAGGCTGGCCTAAGGTTGGGGAAGCTTGGAGTCTCCTTTTGCTCTTCTGGTCAGACCTCTAGACCTAGCCTCTGTGGCTCTGCCTGGCAGGGGCCACTCCGTGTCATTCTTTCTCCTCACAAGGCCAGCTTGAGTCACTTCCTTCTTTGCCTATTCTGGAAGTCCTCACCCTAGTGTACTAAATGATGCTCTGGTTTCTGGCTCATTTGCCAAACGAGATGACAAACCAAGCAGATGAGACTACACAACACCTAATGGATCAGACGTCCAACCTCTGCCGTCCTAGTGCTCTCCGGGAGGCAGGGGGAGCTCCTCAGGGGAGGGGCTCACATAACTCATTCCAAGCGTGGCAGCTTTGTGATGTGACAATGCAGATACCTCTCTGAGAAAACACAGACACCAACTGATGACCAGTGCTGCAGGAGGAGCTGGAGGACTCTGGGATCCTGGGAGGGGAGACTGCAGAGGCTGGGGCGAGGCGAGGCTCCGGTGATACAGCTGTGTCTAGAGTTTTGGCTGCAGTCAACACCCAGGCAGATGACCCAGAGATGGTGGAGGCAAGTCCAGGAGAAGAAATGAGTCCTCAGTACCAAGGCAGGTCACAGGTCAGAGACCTGAAGATCAAATCTCTGAAGATCTATCTCTTCTTCTGCCCACCAAGGAGCTCAGTCGACCTTTCCCAGAGGATGTTCCTTAAGGTCAAGACTGAGGTCGGCCGGTGGACCAGGCTCAAGGTCACTTGCTACCACTAAGCAGGTGCCCAGTCCCATCTGTAGGACATCAGCCTGCCACACTCTCCATCGTCCTGGTGAGGCCGGACTACTGGGGAGCAAGATCAGTGAGCTCCAAGTGGTGCCTTGCATGGTGACAAGGCCTTGCAGCTCTGTGCTAAAGCACCTTGGCCCCCTGCGCTGTCCTGGTCCCCGTCCTTGTGAAGCTATAGCTGCTGGCTTGTCCTGATGACTGCTATGCCTCTGCCGGCTTTACCAAAGCCACCTCTGAGGGCACAGCTCTGATACCTGGAAAGAGACTGCTCCCGAGTCTCCCCATCAGCAATACATCAATCTGCACCACAGAATCCAAGGGTGGCCACCATATGGTACCTCTGCACAAATCAATGAAGTAAACCCAAAAGCAAACCAATGAACGCAAATGCACGGACACACAGAACAGGAAGTTATTAAGGTGCAGGTTTTCTTGCAGGCTCCTACCGGCCTGTGGTTTAATGGCAAGGCCTTTAGTCAGGGTGCTGGTGAACTGAGCTCTCACCCCCATTCTCTGGCCATCCTCCTTCGTCCCCAGGGCAGATGCCTTTAACTTCCTGAGTCTCGCTGTTCTCAGCTGTGTAATAATCCCTGCGATCACCTCCTTGCAGAATTGCTGTGCAAATCAAATCCATGACCACGCAGGTGGAAGAGCTTCAGAAACTGCCAAAGGCCAGGGAGATGGTCATGGCCACACCCACAATGTCCTAGAGGCTCTGCTGTCTCACTTTGGCAGCCTTTCTCCCCAGCTGCCCCTCTGCTGCAGCCAGACGGAAATCTGTCAGTCTGAACTTGCCCTGCCTTTGTTCCTGCTGTACCTCCTCCTGGGATCCTCCTATCCTTTCTGACTCAGCCTAAATGCTACTCTCTCCGAAGACTTTCCCCAGGCCGCCCAAAGGCAAGTCAAGTCCCCCCACTCTGCGGTCCCAGAGCACCTATCTCTGGGGCAGTGACCTCTCTCTGGCTCACGTGGTTGTGTGAGTGCAGAGCTGATGGTCCCCAGATGCCGGGTGCCCAAGG